GAACCAACACATTAAAATAATAAAACACAGTAGACAATGGAATGTGTTTTAATACTTACGAGCCAGTGAATTATGAAAATCCCATGCTTGAGTCTTGCCATCCGCATAAACACTATTGTCTCTCACTACAGAGTAAGAAAGAGGAGCCTTTACATTACAAATACGATTTTAAGAAACAAATGCCATCAGAACTATATCGACGTACTCTATTTTGAAGATCCCGTACGATTAGTTTGAGATTCAGGCGGAATATTTTATTTCTAACTCGGTGCAATGACTGTCCCTATTCGGCATAGTGGTAGGTCAATGTAATTCTTTAAGTATTACCATTAAATAATTAAACTTTTAATCTATCGTTTATAAATATTGCGGAATAATGAATACATTAAATATGTATTAGAAATGTACGTTCATATTATTAATCGTTCAGGATCATTAAACAAAATTACTATTTTTTTAGTGCATGAGGAAATCATTAGGCGATACACGTTTCCCGGCCGTTGAAGTTGATGAAAAGGCGTTGGCATTCTCAAAACTCTTCGGAGCAGAATCACTCAGTGCGAAGCATCGATGACTCATACTGGCAGCAAAAACTTTCACATCGTTTTCACATCGCCATGCATTTGCATCGCGTGATTGCGCCGTTACCCCACATGCGTTGCATCTTGATATGCACTCGGGCGAATCTGCACTTGCACTTGGAATGCGGACGAGATTACAGTCAAAATCAACGTGTGCGGTGGAAAGTGGCTGGGGAAATGAAAATATGTTTCAAAGGCAACAATCTTGGCACTGTCAGCTGTAACAGTTGTTATTAAGATTTTGGGGAATGGGGCAGTAACGTACTGAATATGAAGTATTAATAATTAACACAGGATATAAAATAAGATAACATGTGAAAGAAAGCAAAAAGAGAAGTAGGTTGTACGAAAGAAATACTGCACGGAATGACTTCAAATAGTAACATTAGACCTGAAATCAAGGCAGAAGAAGAATATGAAGGGATCTGTCGAAGACGAAATATTTGACTGTCGCTTATTTACACACATTCACAAAATTCATTAAATAAGTTTCAATGAATTGTTATTTCGGCATTCAAAATATGTTTAAGAACAAACGATATATAGAACAATAAGCATAAACGAACGATGTAATTTATTGTATTGTACCCACTTCTCGAATAATTAATTCCACTCCTTGAATAACCATGAACACGAGTTGTGTGGTTCTGAAGTTCTGAACTAACACTTTTTCGAGAATTAACAGCAACCCAAAACCAGAACACACGTTTTACGCAAAAAGCACATAGATTGACATTTCTAGCAGCTCAGAGCTGGAAAAATGCGCGACTGTGAAGATTCAGATGCCATCAGAGGATAAAAGCAACGCGCGAGGTCGTCAATCGCTTGGGGTTAGGAAATGGAAACGGGCGGCGGGCGAGGGGGGGGGGGCAGCGCATGGCCGCTAATGCACGTCGGCAGCAGGCACGCGAATGCTGCCGGTCGATTCGCTCGCTCCATTTGGACCTTCCGTCCTTCCCGCGCTCCGCGACCTGCCACCCACCCACACGGGGCTTTTATTTCATTTTCTGCCCAGGGGTAGGGTTCGCGAGCGGCTCTGAGTAGCGCCCTTTCCTCCGCTGCCTGCTTAAAAACTCCCTCTTTTCCTAGAGTTTCGCGTGCCAGCGATTGCGTGGGCGTAAAGAATACCTTCACTATCACGGCACTGCACTCTCCTCCCATCCCATGACGAAATACAAGCATTAAATCAGATCAATTCTTAGTTTCAGGGATGCCAAAAGTGAGTAATCTATGCATTTAAAACACTACAGGTGTTCACATAGAATGAAACTTTTCTATGCAACAAAATGTGATTTTTTTCTTTAAATGAAAGGTAGTGAGCCTTCGATCTCTTATCACTTGCTTTTATTAAAGTGTTGTGCTAAAGGTTAAATTTTAATAACATATCCCCACAGAATATTTGAGGAACTTGCGAGTGTGGGTGTTTGCAGATCCGTCACTCATGGTTAGACCACTTCTCATATACGAATCGAGACGTATGTCATTCGACGCGTCTTGGTCTTCTGGTGGGGAACTGATAATTTGTTTTGGAATCCGGTCAGTCGATTCTACAAAATTTCCAAAAACTTGCTTTTGCATGTTTTGGATCTGCGATCTTAGTGCATATACAGGGAATTAAACCAACGCCACCTAAATAGACCTATGTGGGTGGCGTTGACTAAACCCCTGTACGTGACGCCATGCATTTCTCTGGATGGCTATACATATTGTTGTCATTTCTAAGTTAAAATAATCGCGCGGCAGATTTCATTACTTTTTCATCTGTATTATCGTATTTGAAAAAATAAATTTGTGAAAACCAACTATAATTTTTCTTGGAACTGATAAAATTTCATGGCCTTAAAGTGAATATGGAGAAAATCAAACTGTGAGTAATATTAGAAAATGAAAGGACATTATGTTCTTACGTTTGTTATCTCACATTCTACGTACGTGCGACTTCTCACAAGTACATTGTTAAGCGACCAAATTTCGATTTTTAAATGCATGCCACTAACGACTTCTTATTAAACTTATCTAAGACCTTATTCGTATAAACATGCAAAAGTCTCATTTTATTATATATATATATATATATATATATATATATTATAGAGGAGAGAGAGAGAGAGAGAGAGATATGCTACAAATCGATTAATAGAGCAATTGCGCAAGTAGAAGTGAAACAAAATTAAACTGAGTCTGTGTAGTTTTAATTCTTCATAAAGTTCAGGGGTAAAAATTGTAAGTGTCTAAGGAGGAATCAAATGAAGTTGTAGAAGATTTTGCGACTAATTGATAATGAATGATATTATGGACAAATGAGGATAACGCTGAAGAACAGCTTACAGGTAATATTTTTTGTGCATATTAGCAAAAAGGCGCACGGAATGTACCTGTACTAAATTATCACTATTCGCAACATCCACACCTGGAAGTATTTTTTTACGGTGAATACAATTGTCAATAACAGTTTATGTACCGTATGAAGGTAACATATAAGGCCATCGGTTGTTGGGATTTTTTAAACGGGAGTATGACATTACGCTTACTCAAATTAATTGGTATGTCCAGTGCCAGAGACTGCAAGAAGTTGTTTGAACATAGCTATGCATGGCTTTAGAAATTTTTAACATATGAAAATACTTTTAAAATAGTTTACAGCGTCGGTGACGCCCCATTCAAATTGTTAAAATTAATAGAATGACAGCTTGTCCGCTTTGCGTAATTTCTAATTCCGATTTCCGTAATTTCCGTTATTTGCAAGGCCAACTACAACGTAGTTGGTTTTTGTTGTTTTGTTTTGCGAATTGCAATTAAAAGCAGACAAAATGTCGCCTGTAATGCGAGCGAGCTGTCTATAAATGTATGTAGGACCATTTATCGTTTCACTCATTTCTGATTATATTAGATTTATTCAGTCAAAAAACAGTAAAAACTGTATGTACGTAGGGGGGAAAGATTCCGAGACAATAAAGGCGTACGAAGACTGTGAGAATGCAAGGGGCATAACGTTTAATTAGATTCACACAACGGTCAAATTGCCGCCCCTTGGCATTTACCATATATATTAGTGTGTGTGCATGCGCATACATCCAGGGTATTCAGGATGGAAACAACAAAACTTTGAAACTAAGCACTCGAAAGTTGGTTTGAAAAAAAGGTTCAATGCACAAATTGGCATTTCAGGAACATATAAACAATCCATAATCATGTAAATTGAATACTATTTCAAAAATAAATTAATATATTTGTTTATATAGAAAATTAACACAAAAACAACTTGATTCTATGCTTTTTAACAGCCAATCAAAGTTTTCTCTACTAATGTGTGCTTGATTTATTCCAAGAGATATGTCAGTTAATTGCATTTTGTCTAATACTTATTCAAGTTTGCACTAGCAAAGTAACTTAGGTTGGAAGATGAATGTATACTTAAAAATAAATTTTATCCAGAAAGTACATTGGCAACATTGATTGTCAAGATGGATCTAATGTTTGGGTAATGATGTTCCTTACATTGCCTGTGCCTCTTTTTCCCTTCAAATATGAATTTTCGCATTTAAAGCTGTTTATTGCAATAATGAACAAGAAAATAATTGAACCTGCTAATGTCATCATGCACTTTAGTACTTAAAAATCTTCTAAATTATCGTTTTCAAATAATAAAACACTTTTATTTATCATAAGGAAAAATTGTTTATGAAAGAATGTTACAATTATTACAAGAAACACATGTACTTTCGCTAATATTCCTGACACACGTAAAGTGTAAGTCTCGTAATACTTTTTTAGAACATAAGAAATTGGTAACATAAGAATCAGTGCACACTATTACTCTGAAATTAGCTGTATACTTCGATGTTCTGACACTAGTCGGAATAATGATTTTATTATATTTATGCTCAATTTAGGATAATGTAGCAGTAACCATTGTGAATTAATCAAAATAAAGTAGTACGTTACTTACCAGCAGGTAATCTAAGCGAGGGTCAAATAGAACTGATAATTTTTAATATGCTGACGTCTACCACACACACAAGAGGACACGACGAAAGATGTTCCAATCATTTGTCAACAATATTATAGTGCTTAAATGATATTTTTACTCATAAATGGCCAATAATTAATGAATTACAAATTCTACGCTGCATCAATGTAAATTTAAGCAGCCTACAACAAATAGTATAATCTGTTGATCCTAATGTACGGATGGTGGGAGTTTTCGGGACTGCAAACGCCGATGTGGCCTCGCTTCGCTTTGAGGCCTCCAGAGTGGCCGTGACCAGCGCGGGCGTTGAAGCGCGCGCCGTGAGCAGAGAAGGCAAAAGCGCGTTGGTCACGCCTTGCGAGCGCTAACGCCGGGGCCACCTCTCCTTCCCTCCTCTCCCCTCCCTCCCCGTCGAACCCCCACCCATGCACTCCCTACACCTCCGGAGCGCAAATGAGGGCTGCCGGTGGAGCAGTGTGTTATAGTATTTTCAGATCTGAGCTGTGGACAGTTATGGCGACATACCATTGTTAACTGTTGAATCATTTTGGCGAGATTTGGGGCTTCTGTGTTGAGGTCCGGCGACATGGCAAGATTTTTGGACTTCCCCAGGTAAGCGGTAAAATTATTTCTCTGCGTATGATGTTGGATTTAAAGCTGGTTTTGGAAAATAACATCCTTTTTAAGAACATTTAAGTTCAATTAGGATTCTTTTCCTCACATCGAGATTGACAATGCACCAGCTAATAGCACCACCTTTCCGACATTACCACACATCTGAGAGCTCCTAGCAAAGTGATGCATGTAGCGCGCTGTAGGCTTCGCCGTGAGAAAATAACGGAAGAAGTGGACAACTAGTAGTGCGTGGCAAACATTTACCCTACTTCACGATTTTTCTTTCTAATGATAACTGCGCAACGCATAAATAAAAACTCATTATGTTAAGATGTTTATATACTCCACGTAGCTCAGAGGTATCTTGGTAAAATGAGCTGCGATACTTGCTTCAAACTTGATCGAGGTTGACGAATTTTTGTGGCAAGAACATCCACGTCTTGCGCGGTTGTGGTTAGTTAAAGTACTCGTATCTTTTAACACTTCTTGGATATTCTCAGCAAAATAAGCACCACAACCGCCATTGGACAGATGCTCTTAACCAGGAGTGGAGAACGCAAATGAGGCCTCGCCCGTTCAGAAACGTGCGCCATACGACCAAGATAAAGAAAATAAAATGTAACGTCTAGATTGGCTTTCCTCGGGCAAAAGTGATAGGATACTTTTCTACACCAGACAGGAAATTATTTATTAACTCCATGTAATCACGTGACTCCACCCTCTTCCTCTGGCATCTACCTCGAAGTGATCCGAGGAAACAATGGAAAACGTTTATCAGAGAAGCCAGACTGTAGAATTCTCATCAAAGGTGTGTTATCATCAAACTCAGATAGTTTCGTTGCTGGTTTCGAGAAATTTACCGTCTTTGGCACTCTAATGGACGACCTCTTTGACTACTAGTTTCAGTTGCATACTCACAATTTCAGTAGCGTATTTCAATACGCCCCACAGGGTATTCGTGTGTATGTTCACAGTAATATTACGAGTATGAAAGTAAACATGTTTTTACTAATGACCGATAGATATAATATTTTGTTATCATTTATTATACGAGAAATGTCTGGAGAGTATGATTGTAAAAAAAACCTTTCAAAACGACACTTAACGAGTAAAACTGTCAAGGTCAAAATATAGACTATAGTTCGGCACCTATACACTTCAATACATTTGCAATGTAGACGTTTCCGAACTCTTCTGCGTCTTTGCGTGGAGTGTGTCCAAATCTGGAAAATGTACAAAAGTATGATAGTTAATAATGTAAAAATTAGGAATCAAACTAATGTTTAGTTGTTAACAATTCATAGGAATGATTTCAGGATGACTTAGGAAAACATAAAGACTGCATGGTTTATTACAATGTCATGACGTACCCGAAAAATAAATAACGAAAAACACAAAATTATACGATTATCTTTGGCGATGTAGCCAAGTCGCGCAACAGCTAAGACCAAAGGGAAAGAGACAAAAAACGTGTACATTTTTCAAAAAGGAAATAAACGTGTTTGTTTCTCTATACTACGTTTTTTCAAAATAAACTTGATTAAATGCGATGGATGGAACATGGTGATGATCAAAAAAGAAAAGGAAAAGGTTGCATTAGGTTTTGTAAAAACTACCCTCATTCCTCTTTTACGTCTCTTAAAACAGAATTAAAATGCCGAAGCAAAATTGAAAGCACTTATTAGATCTTTGTGAAATTCTCGAAAACGGTGATGGAATGCACCAAAGTTGTTCCAATTGTGATACCAAAAATTACCAACTAAATGGATTTTATTTCATTGTATTAGGTACCGAGTAATCGAATACTAAAACTGAGAATTATTTCAAAGAGCTAGGGCAGAGAGGGGCGAGAAGGGGAGGCCGGGGTGGGTGGGAGTGGAGGGTGTGCCGGATTGCGCAGGATGCAGTTGGACATGGTGGAATGGGAATGCAATAACATTAAATTCAGTTTGAGTAGAGACATAATATTTTTCTTATCCTGCCAAATGATAATGATGATCGAGCGAAGTCTATTACTTCGTTTCTAATAACTTTGTTTTACTTTTCGACACTGAAAATAGCCTATTTTGTTCTTCGAATTAAAAACCAAACACTATTGATTGGATAAAAGGCTCTGAGGGCAGGGCAAAACTCCTTGCTTAAGTGGGAGGGATAACTCATACACACCTGTCTCGGGCGTTTACGTCCACGCGACAAACGTCTATGAGGAAGCGGACGCTCTCCAAGTGACCCTCGGACGCTGCCACGTGTAGCGCCGACCGTCCGTCGTAATCCCTCACGTTCATATCCATGTTACGCAAAAAGTAGCTGAAACATTGAAAACATTCTCGAAAGCCCATTTCGCTGCTCGCATCAGTTGCCTGAACATGGAAATAACGCAGGCAGAAGCACACTAATTGTAGCCACTAAAAATCTTTAAAATTATTTTTTTTGTAGGGTTTGTCTCCCCAATCAAATGCCCTGAATATTACAATAGTTTCTCAAATTTAATTAATATGAATTTACAATAATCTTGGACAGCAATGTGGTAGTTTGTGGATACTTTTAGTTAATGTACGATATAAAATTTATTTGTATTGATTTATAACTCTTAATAATTATGTTTACCTACACACGGACAATACTGTATTCAAATGTTACAATCAAAAGAGACTTAATGGAACCCATTACGCTTTCTTTCATTTGTGTGTAATATACTTCCTTGTTCAATGTGGATTAACTGACGTCAACAGAAAGCTATCAGAATTAAATGGTACTGGCGCACCCTCAATCACACGTAATATGTTTCAAAGCTCGTTGCGCTGGCGCGGCCAGCAATAAGCACCGCACTAGCTATCTTTCGCGTCACATACCTTGTTCATTCTAATGAATAGAATTGAGAAAGCATGGGAATTTGAAGTGTGGAGAATTAAAGTGAAGTTGTGAAATTTTTAGGCCGAAATGAATCCTTTGTACACCTTTATTCCCGGCTGCCCTACTGTGCAGATTTCAGACACGAAAATAATCTCGGGCGTACATTTAACTGTCCCATATACTTGGATTTATTTAGAGCTGCCCCCATCAGCTGTTAGGGTGTCATCGAATCGGGAGATCTCCAGTCGCTACAGTGGCGTTACAGTGGTGACGTTCAACCTTCCGATGGGATGACACCAGCTGATTTACTTCAAGTAGGGGTCTAAATAAATCCAAGAATGCGCACGGGATATGAGCCGAAGAGGCCTGTTAAAGCATTAGAGGCAAACAAGAAGGGAGATCCAGTGCATATGTAGCAGTATCACTGTTAGCTGTAGCACTGTCACTGTTCAGAAAAATTGCATGGCTCAATGCGAGAGAGAGAGGTTGTAGTCATCGAGAAATTTGTTGCGCCTGCGTTAGTAATTTGTTTCGTTAGTTTTCTTGTTATCTTTCATAAACGAATTTGTAATTTTTTTTGTCGAAGCTGGCTGTGGAAAGACTAAGAACTCGATGTTCTTGAGGAACATTCAGCCGTAGTAGCAGTCTCACTTCTCTGTGAAGTTAGCTGAGTTCACAGATTTGATCTGATTTGATATATTTTCAACACAGAACAGTAAAAAGTGTTTGCGACGTTTGGAAGAGAATTATTATGTGCGCACGTTTTCTCGATCTTCAGAAACAGTTCCGTATGCTTTTGCTATACACAGTTCAATGATCAACAAAGTGAAGTTAGTAAGTTTTGAAAACTAAACCTAAATCTTTTTGGTCAAAAGTTATGGGAAACTTCTGGTCTGTAACCAGTCTATATATTATTTTTTTTAGTATAGCAAATTAGCAACTCTGATCCCGGATGTACTCCTACCACATCGAGCAAACACTACATTTAACTACATTTGTGTACAAAATAGTTACATTTATTTTCAGAAGCAAAGCAAAAGAAGAATATAGATTTTGCTCAATGTATCAGGGAAACTGGATAAAAAATCTGTTGGAAATGGGGTATCATTGACCCTTACATCCTGCAAACTTTTATACACGACTTATCTATTAGATAACACTGCTTTGATAGGTCTGCCCACAATACCACTGTGTCTACGTCTATGAACCCTCGCAAAATATTGCGCACTTGGCTTATGTCACAGAGAAGGGAGACTGTTGCAATAATTGTCGTCTCAAAAACATTGACTTCCTAGCTTCTCGACAGTCGCATTCGACAAGAAAGGTACATTTATATTTCTTGTACGAAAGAACAAAAGAAAACCAATGAAATAAAATAACAAATGGACGTAAAGTCATATTCTAGACGATTAGAACCTTTAGTGTGCATTCGTTAACCGTTGTTTTCTGAGCAGAGGTAGTACGCGTAGATGCTTAACTACTTGAGCAGCTCAACACACTGAATGCGCAGTGTCGCGCTTCTCGTGTTTCGCTCGCACTCTAACGATCGTCGGGTGTAGACATTTTTCCTGTGAACTCTAACTGAAACAGATCATTACATCTGTAAGAATGGTGAAATTTCAGCCAATACAGATGTATATAACTATAATACTTGACACAGTAATCGTATTCATCATGAGTCAGTAACAACAGCTCACTATACGTAATTAACATACAATACTTACACATTTCGTGACAAAACACTGCGAGATATCATTAAATGATTAAAATTGATTCGTAAATTTAAGAGCTATGTAAAATATTTATTATGCATTACTATTTATATACTGAACATCGAAAATGAAAAACAAAATGTTTTCAAATAATATTTTATGTATTAATGATCTTTGGTACTGCATAATTTTAAAAGACTATACCTTTTACCTCAGCTTCTATGTCAATAGTCCTCATCTCGATATTGTTTTAAATCCAGTTTCTCTAATCTATAGAGCCTATGATGAGTGACATCATGTGTTGTTTCTGAACTTTAAGGAAGCTTCTATGTACACTGTGTGTTGTTTCCAGATTAGTGGCTAATATATTTACTCAAGTAGTCGTTATTTGAGATCTCATGGCAGTTTGTCGTAGGGCACAAGAAGGCATATTTGCCAAAATCTGTGGCTGAATTTCATTGCAAATAATTTTTATTACCCCAGAGCGAATAGTTTCTTTTATTTATTCACCAAAAACGCTAGTTGCTTCCAGTGCCCATAATTATATGTGAACGCAGTACTCAAGAAAATATGCACGTGTTTTCCTATAGTACCGGCTGTACATTTTATTTTTCGCGGAAGATGATGCGCCACTTGCGTCGGCAAGCGAGTCCTCGGATCCCCGGGGACTTTACATGTTCATTCGGCACGTTCGTCGTTCGCCGCGACCAGCCGATTCACTGTGCATAATGAAACTTTCCTTCGAGCAGAGAATATTTATTGACACCTTGGTTCGACTTAAGTCAGTGCCGCAAGAGGTTTATTACGAAATTTCCGTGCGTGAATATTCCAAATCCGTTGACAATTTTGAAGCTTGTCGAGAAACTTCGCACCCATGTAATTTTAATTGATTAACAAAAGCGTCGAAGGCGCCATGTCCTGACAGAAGAGAAGGTTAACGAATTGTCTGCCAGGTTGCAACGATCTCCAAAAGCGTTTCGCAGAATGCGCGGGAAGCTCGCGGCAACTCCTCAATCTTAGTTCAAAGGGTAAATCCGAAGGTGCTAAGAATGCATTCAAGTGAAAGGACACCGCTTTCAGCATCATTTAAAGGTAAGTTAAGCACAAAGATAGTTCCCGTATGTTAGCACTGGAGTTGAGCCAGCGCTTCTCTGGGCGAGCGAGCCCTCCACTCTCCGGGCAACGCGGGTATTCGACGAACAATAAAATGTACACTCTGTACTACTCACGGATTTTGCCTGTTTTTGATGTTTAATAAAAAAAATCAAAAAGCGAACGTGGAACGCCATCTGACCACTGTAGTGCATCCACGTCGTCCCTGGCGGCGGCGCACAGGATGCGAATGACGTGCTCTTCCTTATCGCGGCCTGGCCGCTGCGTGGGGTCCTCCCGTGCGGGCACGGCGTGGCCCAGGCGTGCGTACGGGTGCATGCAATAGAAATCGAGCAGCCTCTGGGGAAACACATTTACCACAATTACAGTATTGCTCAAGCACAGTACATTTCTCTCGTGTTTCACGCTCTCATCATTTAGAATGCCTTAAAGAAATAGACCCTCAATGTTATGATTTCTCTCAAATAACTCATTGAACATTCGTGTGCTTCAAACTTAATGCGCAATATTCATGTTTGTAACATTTTAAAAGTTGAGTTTGCTGCATATATCGCCATAACTCACTGTTATAAAAGGTTTAAAAACGTGTAACTTAAAAAAAACCTTCCTTGTCACAGCAAACTATCCCATGTTTTCCCGAATAAAATATTACAATTCCATTGCACCCAAATTAAAAAGTAAAATAAAAGAGAGCAGACTTTGGAGAACACCTCGGAAATTAAGAGATCACAGAGAACAACGGCTCTACGCCGTCATTAGAAGAGTATTTTACTTTTTTATAACACGAAATTTAAATAAAACTAGAGTGCTACATAATGGCATAGACTTTCTAGTACTAGATAATTTCATAGACTCGTTAGTGTGGATTAGCAATTTGTCATTGCCCAAAACTTTGCCCAGCTTTTACTAAACGGTAACTGGGGTAAAAATGGGAGCAATTTTTCGGAAAAGCTTCAAAAAGTTCCAGATTCTTCACGTAAAGTGGCCTCAATAAAAAAAACCTTTTTACATTACTGTCTGATTGTATTACGTTTCTTGATAAAAGTTTCCAAATCAATTTCTTGACAATTAATTTTCTGTTCGTTTTGAAATAATAGGAAAATAGACAACATATTGTCTAAAAATTGATTTGGAAGCTTTTATCAAGAAATCTTTCATAACCTTCACTATACTACATATACTGGATCATTACATTATGGCGCACCCCTTGTCTGGGAGTACCTGCTCTTGTGGTAATTTGGAAACCAAGAATCTTGGCCCCCAGTCAAGACACATCTGAGGCAGGCACGATAGGAATGGAAGGGGAGGAGATAAGCATCATAAGCTGCGGCTACTTTCCTGTTTGTGTTTTTGCCACTCAAGTCTCGCGGCGGCCAGGCATGCGACTCGCAGGTCGGAATCCGTTCGGGCGGAGTGGGGCAGAGCGGGGAGGGGCGGACTGGCCTGGGTCACGAGCGAGCCAACGAAACGTCTCTTTCTGAAATTCAGTTCAGTTCGCTCTGGAAACAAAGCCGTGATACTGAAGTTGTTGTGGAAGGTGTGGCGGAGTTACTGATTTATTCACATCGACGAAACAATTACTATTTACTGATAGCTGTCTCAGAGAGAAATCAGTAAGATGTCTTGTGAAAAATAACCAAACACTTCGTTATTTATACAATAATAATACACTAATAAAAAGAAAAATATTCATTACAAAATATTAATAAAACTAATACAAATATATAATAGTACTAAGTATTAAATTGATTGTAGTCAGCCATGACACGTTCTATATGTCATTATTCCGTAAGTGTAGTGAATGCTCTTGTATCTAGGTAGCGGTGTTCCTCCCCCACTGGGCGGCGAATTCCAGCGTCTTCCCTCACGTCTGATTGCGGAAGAATTACCCTCAAGGTTTCTCTCTCAGCGGGTAGCGCCCTCAGCCGCGAGAAGCTCTAAGCTCCCGACTGATCTTCCAACATGTATGGTCGCGTTGTGCCTCTATGTGTAATGGAGTCTAAGTAAGAGCAGCTGACAGGACAAGAAAGGGAAACTTTCGCGTGGGCCATGGCCGATTTGTTAGGGTACCGCTCCTACAAACGTCGTTCATATTGGAGAAATCACAGAAAACTAAAGAATCAGAGCAGCCGGCCACTAGAAGTCACCTCCAGACGGCGCCTGAATTCGACGAAGCTATCTAGCTGGTGTCGAATGAATATCCACCACCGTCGGGGCTCAAACCCTAAGACCTCCCCGTTCGAGACGCTGCGAAAAAACTGCAACGGCTCTGAGCATTAATGACCCGGCAAGAAATACATTAATAATCATTGAAAATTATTAATGAATATATTATAAAACCTTAAAATGACACTTTTGGCGATCCTCCTCTTCTAAATTTGAGTTCTTCGAGGATAAATTAAACAAGAAAGGATGATTGCGCAAGAAACCTTTCTTCCAACTAAAATAAACGTGTTGCTCCACCCCGAAACGAGAGTGCACGCCAGGACGGTTCGTGCAGTTCCAAATTACCACAACAAGAGCATATGCTCCCAGACACGGGTTGAGAGATAAAATAGATACTCTTATTCTGTATATAGACCGATATAGACTATTATTCCGTAGGTGTATATATATATATATATATATATATATATATATATATATAAATAATATATATAAGAGCTTCAAATTCACAGGGCTTAGTGTTCGGTGAGATCGACCGCGGATTATTCATTTTGCAAGAAATCCCATGAATTATTAAGTTGATCACTGACGATCAGGCCCACACACACTGAAACATGCACGGGCTGAGACGGACGTTTGAAGAAGAGAAAACACTTTTACTGTATTAGAAACCCCAAAAAATATATTTTCCGTAAAAATATCGGCATCGATTTTCCGCTTTACATCACATTTACTTATACTGCCTGTATTACTCTGTGCGATTACTTATGCGATATAGTAAAAATACGGGAAAGTTGTTAATATTTTATCGGCCTAATGTTGACACCTCACCACTTTCTCCCTCCTATACGCCAATTTCATTTGGAATTTTCCTGAATTAGCCTGTTTTCTTCCTACAATGTTCTTGATGTCAAGCATTGATATGATATTTTGACTCACCTCGCAGAAATATAAACATCGACAACTGTTCCCAAGTCGATCAAGAGGAGGTGACCACAGACCTATTCCCATGACACTCGGAACTACAAGCATCATTCCTCCACTAACACCAGACTTTGCTGGTAAGCCAATCTGGAAAGTAAATGTTCTTATATCAGATTATTTGTTAAACATGTAGAACAGAATAATTTAGTTTATTACTGATGTTTCTGAATAAAACCGCATAGTGTGTCATATAAAATAATACACAAATTCTAACAAAGCAAAGATTCAATACTTTATCTTTTTACGTTAGTAAGTGCAAGAAAGTCAAAATAGTAACTCAGAAGCTATCTGGTTATTTTTAAAATACGTTGCAATTGCAATGTAAAAATCCTTTGCCCTTCTGAAAGATGCGAATAATAACAATAATAGCAATAACAACAACAATAATAATAATAATGAACAATAAATAACATGTTACTTACTTGGAAAGCGAAATGCCCTGAATAGTCATACATGCCACAACTTTGCATTAAAGACAACATGTTTTGTACTACATCTTGCCTCAGAACCATTTTATTGGTCAGTGGACAAACTCCCCCATTTGCTAATGTTGCTGCTATTACTGACAGTGTTTCACAATTCCCTAAAATGCTGCAACTCTACATAGAAATACATTAGCAGATTGGAAATATACTTTATGTGTTTTGGAAAATCATTAGGTAAATATGGACTATTGTGAAAGTATTATTGTAGTAATATAAAATTTGTGATAAGTTACATTAATTACTTTATAATATAGTGTTAGAACATCGTCCACGGTGATAGATGGTGGGAAACATTTTTTCTCCATCATCAAATAAGCTATTGCACAATTTCGGAATCCTGTTGCCTTTTCAGACTCATACACGTCATTACTGAAGCCAACATATTCATCTGCCGCAAGATTCTGAAACAACGACATTCAATTTCGTTATTGCAATAACAATGTATTACTTTCAACCAAGATTGCATTGCCGAGAGATCTACTGACACCCAAGGCATTCCAGGTTTAACAACGTTTTTTACTTAGTAGTTAAGAAGCTACCTGAAATAAGGTCATATAAAGACCATCGTAAGTCACATTAAGGGTAACAGTAACGGTACACAGATTCACACAAACATCTTTCCCCCAGCGGGATTCGAACGCTCCGCCCTTCAGGCAAGAGGCAGCTACGGCTCGTCAATCTTGGCGACCTCGGCTACCCGGGCCGGCCTGGACATTATTGCATTTTGTGTAAAGTAAAAGGAAAAACAATAAAAAAATAAAGCGATCTTCCACAAGAAATTGTTATTCCACAATGGGAGAAAGTGAATGTTAATTTTTCCTTGTGTACTATTGTTACTTTGGAATAGTGAAAAGGGGTTTCATACAATCACGACTTCGGTTTTGGTCGAAGCACTTAAAATATGGAGAACATGGAAGGAAATGAAGAATAGAAGGAGGTGGTTTGAGAGAACGAGGAGAAACAAAAATATATTTTTTTAGGAATTGGATATTACCGTAGCTCTTGAGCCGTAACCTTCCATATGTAAATAAAATTAGCTATCTTATTCATTCAAAATTATTTTTCATCATTCTCACGATTAAATGGTATAACTCAACTTCTCATCAGTATGCTCTCTTTTTGTAGCAACAAAACCCGGTCGTGACATAATTTAACAAAACTCATGATTAAGAAGCTGGCGTATTTTTTTACCTTCACTGTCTTCATTATTTCTGCCAATATATCGTCAATTGCGTGGTTTTCATATACCAAGGACTTAAGAAGACCACACATAATAATTGCTCCTGGATTAATCATTGGATTATGTGGCATATCTGAAATTCGCAAGAAAAGAACATGTCTGATCAGGAACCAATGCGAAGACAGAACTCGAATTAGTATTATACCTTAGGAGGCTAATAAAAAGCAAGAGTCCACTCTGAAGTCTATCAGATCGAGAGGGCCGGAAGAAGAAAGAGGTCAAGAGATAATTTCTGAATTAATTTCAGAGAAGTTGAAAAGAAAGAGATTTAACAGAATTCTGCAGTTAAGCAAAAAGCAAAAGAAGAATTTTGCTGCCGGCGAGGAAGCGAACAACATGTCCTCTGGCTTTTCCGAAGTGGAGGGTCTACCAGGGATATCTTCCCTCCGAGGTTAAGTAGATGAGTGTTTTTATTGCACTGTAAAATTCTCAGAGGACTTTTGGATAACAACGGATAATGAGCCGAAAGGCTCATGTTAAATGTGCGGAGGCGGAAAAAGAATATAGTGTTGTTGTATATCTGATTTTTTGTCGCTCTTGAATATGTAAAACATGTGAAAAACATATACGATTATTTCTTATATAATAGGCGCTAAACTTGTATTTTTGTAAAATTTTACTAATTTTAATCTGTTTGGAGTTATTTAATTTATTTTACCCAATTTTGTAAAATGTTTTCTGAAGGACTCATATTAGGAAACCTTTTTTAAATTTCAACACAATGTTTTCAAAAAAGTATTTTATTCGTGAACTATTGAGCCAATAATTTTAAGTAGAATATAATATTTGTATCTGTAAGGCGTGCATTGCATATATTTTGATTAAATTGTGCAGAAAAATTGATTTAAAAATGTTCGAAAACAAAATGAGGGCCCTGTTTGGGTACTCTCTTCTCCTATATTATGAATAATGAAGTACTTTAAATAGAGAAAATTCCAAATATTAATAATTACAATAAATTAAAATTACCATAAGCCATTGGGCGATGTTAAAAACAATAGTAATTACTAAAAAGTGACTTGTTCTTATGAAGGAACTGACCATGCTTATCAAGAATCAATGCGTTAAATACTTCTCCGCTAGGCTCTTGCCCCACAAACTGGTGAACTTTTTCACTTCCCAGTTGTTGTAAAGCCAGTCCATATGTCAAAGGTTTGCTGAAAGTAAGAAAACAATTACTTGTTAACTTGTAAAGTATTTTCCAATTTGATGAAAGGTTTTAGAGAAATGTGAAATGGCCAACAAAACCCATACAGGATGTCACGATTATTAATACTATTTATTTACTATACTATTTACTTACAAAGACAAACGTTTATATCTAATTTTATCTGATTCGTAGAACGTGTGAATATTAACTAATGGTGCTAAACAGCACGTGCCTTCTCGCCTGCATTTTACATACGTGAAAATATATCTTGTAAACGTGCTGTATAAAAAAATCAAAATACTATATCAGTCATTCACGGCTGATGAGAGCCACAGGCCAAGCAATAATAAATTTAAAAAATAATTACGCGAAAAGCACTGAAATTTTTGAAAAATTATATATGACCTATCTCAAAATACATCTTTAAGGAACAAATTTGCAATTTCTTTTGAATTTGCAAATTTTGAAAATCAATGTTTTCAACAAACATGACACTTGCATCATTGTCTAAACGTTCTTCACACGTCACACTGGAAGAACTGAACACTATTAGATTTAGATTTATTAATAATTCTGCAATTAAGTTTGAAAACTTGTTGACAGATTACACTGACTTAACATTACGGAACTTAACATTACGGAACTTAACATTAAGGAACTTAACATTACGGAACTTAACATAACGGAACTTAACTTCACAAAATTTAGAACCTTTACAAGTTAACGTGAACTTTCTACCGTGCAATCTTTCATAGCACTACACTTCACCACACTTCATCGCACTGCGAATCACTGAGCTGCAATGTCTTTCTCACACACTCGTTTCCCTCAGTTTCACAACGCCACTGCACTACACATCATTAATAATAATAACAATAATAATCATACTTAATTACATAGAAGACGTAGTTACTTACACTGAATAATTTAAATATATTTGTAACACACATATCAACATTCAGGAAACTAATTTATTTTTAAATTTGTTCAGTCTTTGTGGAAAGTGAACGAAGATTGTCACAGGCAAACCGTTTCAGTCTTTAATAGTTCGATTCGCGAATGAATATTTCCCAACGTCCGTTCTCTGAATTCTTGTCTGAATTTTGTGCATGTAATCCGCTCTGCTGAAATATGTAGGTATCCCTAATCGACTTTGTCTTTCTTTCCACGCTCGGAGGCCTGTGTACGCTTTATACATTGCATTGAGACGTGACTTTAATCTCCTCCTTTCGAGTGACGCAGACTCCTTTATTCTTGGTATCCCTGAAAGTAAATTTGGTGGCTACGTTTTGATGCTGGACCTTTTCTAGATTCATTTGCTGCAAAATTCTGTATGGGTACCAACTTATCGTACCATATTCTAATATGGGTCAACACATTGCTATGTCGAACGGTCACAGCACAGAACTCATTAAGAACATACTACGCCGCAAAATACACAAACAGGTACAAAAAATGTACATTACACTCTCTACAATAACACAAACACCAGACAAGTACACTCACTTACCTTATTTTGGAACCTTTATAAAAATGTCGCACACAAAATTCACAAAGCAGGTATCAAAGTTTCATTCAAATCTCAGAATTCCCTAAAAAAATGCTATCACCCAAACAACAACACATCTTTTAGAAAAAAAGCGGCGTCTATGCACTGCAATGCCATGACTGCGAAGCCAAATATATTAGTCAAAAAGGCAGAGCTATTAACACCAAAATTAAAGAACATATACACGCTTGTAAACACAACTCCAGTGAATCTCAGTTTGCCAATCATTTACTCCAGACAGGCCATACATTCAAAGCACACAGATATTCGTACACTGGAAATCAATGTCACACCAAATTAACTTTCGAAAACCGCCATATTCATTTAAATGATAACTTATTGAATGAAAACATAAACCATAGCCCCACCTTTCTACTAAAATTATTATTAGACAGCACCCCCTTACAGCACTCTTCCTGGGTGGCACAATAGACAGCGCACCGCACTCAGGGCATTACCCTCCTCCATCCCAAAGCCAGGTACTTCCCCTTGGCTCCTTGGCCCCTTGGCCCCTTGGCCCCTTGGCCCCTTGGCCCCTTGGCCCCTTGGCCCCTTGGCCCCTTGGCCCCTTGGCCCCTTGGCTCTTTGACCCCTTGGCTCCTTGGCCCCTTGGCTCCTTGGCCACTTGGCTCCTTGGCTCCTTGGCCCCTTGG